CGCAGGAGTCGATACAGCAGCGGCATTAATGAAGCATTTATTTATTAAAGTGTTGAAAAAACAAGACATTTCAGACAAGGTTCTTTTAAAAAAATACTTGAAGATGTATTTTTTTTATTAAACTATCATGCCACTATTATTAGGCATTTTTAGGATTGAAACTTTTGATTTGAGTAATATATTACTAGATCTGTATAGCTGCAGTAGGTTAAACATAAATAATCTTATGTTGCAAAGAAGGAGAGTGAAGTCTTGGTTCATGCAGAAATAAAAGGCCGGCAACTTGATATTTCTTTTAGTTAAGAGTCTGGTACACACAATTCTGTGATCTTGGCGAGGCTATTTTTGTAAGTCGGCAAAGCAGAAAATGAAATTTGTGAAAACGATACTAAATTATCCACTGCAGATTTTTCAGATTCAGCTTGTTTCCCCGACCACAGAGATCAGGACACATCCTTTGGCTGACACACACCACTTCCGTCAATATCAGTGATCCAAATCCGGACTCCAGGGCAGCTCATTATTCATTCTGCAAACACTGGGTTTCACATGCTGTAATATGTATTATGTTATGTTGTATTTACAGACTTTGTCAGGGAGACCAAGGGAGGTTTAAAACGAACAGTTGCCAGTTTTTTTTCAACCTCCTGTACACATTTTCTATAACACTGTGCATACTTTTGCATTAATCATCATGATTCATTCTTTTGTCTCCCACTTTAAATTGCTAAAATATTGTTTTCCTCTCTAATACAATGATCAACTGTAAAACAAACATGACTATGTCTGTTTGCCAAAATGCTCTAGAGCTGCATGCAGTAGTGAAAAGAAAGCACAGATATTTTATGACCAACTGGTTTTGTAGTATTACATTTTAATTGTTATAGGGGTAATTACAGTTCTTTCACATTTTGATAGGGAACATCTAAATTTATAGTTATTTAAAATAGCAAATTAATGCAAAAATTATAGCATAAAACAAAGTGAGAGGATGTAGTAAGGTATTGTATTGTTAACTGAACTCATT